TGTGCCAAGAAGCAATGACTCCGAAGTGATTATGTCGAGAAGTAGTGACAAGGAAGTGAGTGTGTCGAGAAGGCGGTGACTCGGAAAGTGATACCCACGGTAGTCTGGAGTTGTTACATTCAAGGTGAAAGAGTGAAATAATTCTCGTTAGAGAGAACTACACACCAAAGGGTTTGGTGGCAAGCCATCCACTCACATGATGTGTGGATGTGTGAGATAATTATGTGAAGACACAAATCCAAATGCAAAGACCTCAATAATGCAGGTAATGGACACACAAAATGCTACACAAGCAAGTATGCAAAAGTGGAGATTGCAAGTGCATACTTCTTGTAACATGGTGCAGAGTGTCATAGGAATGTCACGGAGTAAATGTAGAGTAATGTGTAGTTGGGAGGCACGAGTACCCGTTATGAACATAATATATAAGGGTAAATGTTCATGAGTGCATGATAGAGTGCAAGTGTAGATGACTAATGCATGCAATGTGAAAAGCATGCAATGAATGCAATATATTGAATGCAAAGATGATGGACTGATCGATCGGTTTGGTCACGACACTGATCAATCACGTAAACGGATAGTGGTTGACAGACCAATCAGGTCGATGGCAAGGTGATCAATCATGCGGACTAAAGAGGGTCAATCTGGCTGGAGTGTGCAGTCGATCAACGAATGTGATCGGGCTGGTGACTGTCGATCGATTGAATCAATTGAAGAAGGTAGATGGACCCAGAGTATGCGACTAATCGATGAAGGATGGTCGATTCGTCACAATCGGGCTAGTGGAGTCCAATCAATCGAATCGACATAAGATGGTTGATCGAGAGAGTGCACGACCGGTCGAATGAGAATAGTCAGACAAGCTGATTGAGCCAGTAGCAGCTGTAAGGTCGAACCAACAGAAGTAAATTATTTGAACCGAGTAAAGTGTGTGTTCGGTCAACTACGCATGTAAAAGGATATTTTTAATGCGATTTAAAATTTCATGCATGAAATGGTGGTCGATTGATTTTGATGAGGAATAAAACTCGTCTTAACGACCTTACAGGAAAACCTATGGTGAAATTAGCAATTGAGAGGTGTACCAATGCCATGTTACACACAACAACAAGACACCCACCTCCATTTGCACGATGCTAGATGAGGAATCCCTCGCAAGGGGAATGCTCTTTGACAGAGAAGACGATGACCAAGGGAATGCCTTTGTCTTCCGGGTCGGTGGATTTCAAACGTCCATCAGGATGAAATCGCCGATAAAAATGACGGAATTAGTACAACCCCTACTTATGGATTTAATTCTAAAAGAAAAAGTGGTATAGTTTTGAATTTCGTGAAGGAGAACGCAAAGAACCTAATCCTTTGGGACTTCCTCTAAGAACACAAAATTCTTAACCTAATTCATCTAACATCCAAATCTAGGGGGGCTCTAGGTTTTGAAATTGCAAGAGATTAAGGGATATCATCTGCACGATGTTTGATTGAAGCGCTACTTTTGTAGGAAGAAGCTCTCCTTATTGGAAAGAGTAATGTGGTCGTTGGATTTTGCCTTCCCTAAAGGTGTGAAGAAGCTCTCCTCGCCGGAGAAAACAAAGAAATCACTAGAGCTCCCCTTCCCCAAAGCAATGAGGAAGCTTTCCTAGTTGGCTCACCGGGGAAATGAAGGAAAAGAGGAAGAAGATGGAGGAAAATGATTTCCCTAGCCTTTTCCTTGAGAAAGGTGAAGAACCCCTCAAGAAATCTCCCTATCAGCTCCTCCTCCAAGCTCTCTCGCCCCTAAGCTCTCTCCTTCCCAAATGGTAGCTAATTTGCCCAAAATGAGCTCCTCTCCTTGGTTTCTTCAACTATAGAGAGTTAATCCAAGGGTCCCAGGCTACTTTCCTAATTTGGAATCGGCCCAAAATATCCCATATATCATATTTGGGTGAAGATTCAGGCAAAAGGGGGTGGACCAGCGGTCACTGCCACCTCACCGACAAGAGTTAAGAGACCGGAGGGAAAAAATTACGATTCAGGATGAACTGGCGTGGCCATGCCAGGCTCGAGTGTGGTCACACCACTGTTCATAGTGTCGCGGATGAGGGTTTAGCGTGGCCACAATCGAGGCCCGACATAATTACGTCAAGTGCTAGGTTTTGCGGCATGGTCACACCACCCTCAAGTGTGGTCGCCGAGGCTCCTCTCGCATTTTGGGCTTGGTCATGCCCAAGTTGTGGCTTAATTATGTCAAACTCTCTGTTTGGTCGACTTTGTCATGTCGCCTTCGGGTGTGCTCACGCCGACAACAGACCATTTGGGCTTTCGAGCAGGTTATGGCATGGTCGTGCTCGATTTAGGTGAGGTCTCGCCATGGATTGGGTGTGGCCACACCTGAATTAGGCGTAGGCACGTCGGACCCCACACAACATGGATTTTTAGGAAAGCTTGCCAAAGTGGCTTCGAGCCTCATGGGGCCCTCGGAAACACTGGATACTAGCAGTTATGATCCTCAGACATTCGTAGGAGTTGTAAATGCAATTTAAAAGAGTTCAAGAAGTTGAATTGTATACGCGTCGCCGAGTAAAAGGTTCTAACATGAATTTCGTTTGTTTGGGCCTTAGGCTTAAGGTACAAACACGGTTTGGGTAACCTCTTCGACGTTCTACATTAGAGGGAATATTTATATCAGCAAAATACAGCCCTCGTGCCACTGGAACAGACGTCAACACTGAGGAAATCTAAAATGATGTCGGTTTTGACAATGCTTGATTCAGAGCCCAGCTATGGCAGCGCAGACCCTAATTCGGTCCTGTGTCACTCGATGAGGATGTCCCGTGAGTGCGTTGCATCAAAAATGGGTGTCAACATCCTTGTTAATCGACCCTTACCACTTAGCCCTTTCCACTTTGCACTCTCCAAATAGCCTCCACTCACCCCAAGAGAGATGTGGCCACAAATCCTAGGTACCTAAATGTAATTAGCACTTATATATATTTTATTATAAAATGTCTCTATATAAAAGGGGAAGAGTGAATGTAAAGAAAGAAGATTTTCCTCAACCAGGAACAACTATTAGAAAAGTTAATACAATAGTTTCTCATTTCTCCTCTCTCTCTCTCTCTCTCTCTCTCTCTCTCTTCTCTTTGGTTAAATTATTTAATATTGGGCTAAACACATAGGCATTAACAAACAACCAAACTCACAAATCCATTTTTAATGCTACCCATATAGGAACTCATCAAGTAACATGCATGCGCCACACGGTTCCTAGACATATCAATAATCACCCACTCCTGAACTTAACCATGGTTAAAAAATAAAACCATGATTTGTGGGAAAAGGCACAAATTACATGCCCCACTCTATTCAATTAGAATCCATGACTCAAAAATAAACTTCTAAAGAATGTGAACCAAATTAGAAGATTAAAGTTGGGTGAAGTATATTAATAGTGCTGAAATCATTTGAAACCCCAAAAATATTACTTATGAGGGAGACCAAATTATTTGATATTTCTTATAACAAGATATATTTTTTCCACTATTTCAATGTAAAAAACAAAAAAAAAAAAATTGTTGCCTTTTATCCCTTGCTCCAAAATAAATAAATAAAAGCTGCAATGATTTTCTGTGGATACCAACTTATGTTGGCGTTTCATTTAAAATACGTAGCAACTCTTCAGTACATAGCTTGCAAAGCTGCCAACTTTGAATCATTCTTTAGTCCATGATGATTAAGACTGAAGGGCCCCAGGCACGTGCGAAGCAAATCATGCAGTTGCTGTTAGACAACATTATTCTCTCTCTCTCTCTCTCTCTCTCTCTCTCTCTCTCTCTCTTCTCTCCTCTCTCTCCTCTCAAAATAAAAAGCTGCACACCACCATAGGTCCATAACTATGAAGGTTGCATCCCTTCCGTTGCTCAAAAGATCACTTTATTCCATCATTCACCAGAAAAAATTATTAGGTGTTCCATTCACCAACTCCCTTCATGGACTTCTCTGTTGCGCATGGACACTACCTCCTCAGATTCCTTGGCCGACAATCCTAACTTAGATTAGGTTCACTCTAACATATTGCATGTCATGTATAATCATCATATAAAATTTTCTTAATTCTTTTAATAAACATATTTTCTTTTATTTTCCTATAAAAATTTACTTTTGAAGCTTATAATTCATTCTTTATTGAAGAGTATTTGCTCTCAAACTTAACATGTGAGATTTATTGTTCTCATTTAATAAATATATTTTCTTTTATTTCAACAGCATTGATTGCTTGATGCTGTAAAAGCATGAAAAACATTTCTTTTATGTAGGGGAAATGTAATGTGTGTGCGAAGGTGGTGGAAATGTTGGAACTAATAATATATCTTTTATTGACATTATAAGATAATGATGTATATATTTTAACTATTTTTGTCTAAATATTCTCCCTCTCTCTATCCCTGCAAAGACAAGAGTGGCAACAAGACTTATTTGACACAAGACATTTGTGCTACAAAGATTCTTCTTTAGTGGCAATCATGAAGAGAATTTCTAGGGAAACTCTAAAGCCCTATCTCAACAAAATAACATCACCTAATACCTTGTAAACAAGTAGCTCTCATTCCAAAAATATTTGAAAAAAAACAATAGAAAAATCATCCACTAGTCAACAAAGAAATCTTATTGTCCCCTCTTTCCAAATCTTCCATCAGTCACCTCACCATACACTTTATTCCAAGAACAATCAGCCAAATGAAGTCTTATGAACAACAAATGGAGTAAAAAAACAAGAAATAATCTCATCAAATTTCAAATTATAGAAACACCCTCACAAATATAGATCAATAGAAGTAAAAAAATCACACATTTAATGTTTCATTCATTATACAATGAGAAAATAAAAGAGGAAACTAAGAAGAAAAACAAGTAAAAAAAAAGAAATTTGAGGAGAAGAAGTAGATCATATATATATGAAAACCTTGAGTCTCCATGATGGAGAAAAACTATATATTACGTGAGTCATAGTATTAATTAATATATATATTAAACATGAATTTAACTCACGTAATATATATATAAATATATAGATATATTAATCTCTGAGCTACAATAGTGAGCTATTAATGAGCCCATGCCATGAAGAATTGGAACCAACACCACTCCAATAGTCTCTTCCAGATTCCATTCCCAAGCTTCCATGACTAGTACTTGTACTATTAACATTACTTGCAGGATCAAAATTTCCCACCATTACTGTTTCAGCAGCTACTGCTGTACTATCAAAGGGAAGCATTCCTCTCACATCATCAGCTCCACCACTAAAGCCATAATAGAAGCTATGAAGCCCAACACCAGTACTAGCGTTAGGGTTAGGGTTAGGGTTAGAGTTAGGGGTGCCAAGTAGGAAAGTGTCATGGTTATGAAAGCTAGAAAATGCTAGGGTGAGGTCACTTGGATCATAGTTGAGAGGAGGAGGTAGAGGCATGGAAGAAATGAGTAAAGATGAGTGATTGATGTCTTGGTGGTGTTGTAAACCTAATTTCTTTGATGAAGTTGATGATGATGGTGAAGATCTCTTGTTCTTTCTGCAACCTCCACCAACTGGAACGTTTCTGAGGGATCCACCTTTAGTCCAATATCTTCTACAGGATTTGCAAAAGTATCTTGGTTGAGATAGGCTGTAGTTGTTGTAGTAGCAGAACTTGGTGTTGGTGGAGTCACACCTAGGGCACCTTAGGGATTGCTCTGGTTGAGGTCTAGACTTCTTCTCCTGTTGATGAAGATGATGGGTTGGAGATGAAGAGGGTTTGGGGAGTTTTAGAACTTCATGATCATGTTGATGAGTTGCCATTACCTGAGAGTATTGTTATTTTCTTAACAAAATTGCTAAAAAAAAGATAAAAAGAGAATTTTTTTAACTCTAAAGAGAATTTATGAAATCAAATTCAGAAAATGTTGAGATAAAAGTAGTAGATTTTAATATTGTAAATCCAATTGGTTAATTTCACGAGCATTTTTTAGAAATGATATTTTCTAATAGTTTCTTATTGTGGGCAAAGTAGATTTTAGAAGGAGGGTAATGAATTACTAAAAAAATAGGTTTTTTATATTTTTCTTCTGAAAATCAGAGTTGAATAGTTCAGATATTTCCAACTAGTGGGATTCAGCTGATGGTTATAATCTAAAAAATATCTATAAATCAATATTTTAAGCACTGTAAAACTAAATTTAATAGAGAAGCATGCATATATTCTAAATTAAAATTAAAAGTAACAAAATACCATAATAAAAAGCTAAATAAAAACCATGAGCTTCAAGAATCCATTAAATTTTTAGAGAGAGAGAGATTAGCAGAGAAGGATTCAATTGCTAACTCAAGAATTACGGTAACAATAAAGTTTAAGGAATAACACTAATCTATACATTAGAAAGATAAATTGAAGTGGTAATCTTTACCTGATGGTGGCCATTAGAGATCTCCATCCATCCAAACAAAGCTCTCTGGTAATTGAAAGCTCGGTTTCATGCAAAGAGAAGAAGAGTGGAGAACAGAGGAGAGAGAGAAAAATAAGGAGGAGCTGAAGACCTCTCATGGGTTAAATAAGTGAGAGAGAGTTCCGGAGAGAGAGAATTTTAGAGATAGAGAGAGAGAGTAGAGAGGGAAAGGGGATGATAAGGAGGTGGGAGGGGGTGGGGCGGCGTACGAAACGAGAGAGATGCGTTTCGAATGCCAGAGCAGCAAGGCATGGAAAATTCGAGTTTGATCAGAAGACGGATTCACGAGGTGCGTCGCGGGGCCCGCGATGGCGTGGAGCGCAATAGCGGGCTGCGTGGGGGCCCACCAGCCTCCCCTTTGTTTTGGCCGGTTCGGCCGCCCGTTTCACATCGCCGTGCTAATTCGATCGGGACCGTTGATCTCCGGGTTCTCGTCGCGGTTCTTGGCAGCCGTCCGTTTATGTGGGGTCCTTCTAATTCTGCGAGATTTGAGAACCGTCGCTGAGAGTTAGGGTGATTGGGGATATTGCTGCTTGAAACCATCTGAACCGTTCGTTAATTGCACGACTCTTGATGAATGTTTAATGGTGGCGATTTAGTTTTTAATAAACGGATCGTAGGGTTGTACTGAATTATGACCAATCAACTGAGATTTGACCAGGCTTGAATTATGACTATATAAAAAAAAATAAAAAGGGTTATGATAATTATTTAATTGATGTTATCTACATGTACATAATGATCTAGCTAATAAATTCAATATTATTTTATTAGCATGTTAGAAGATATGAGTGGAATAAAATTATATTCTGATGTTATTGTTGCATTTTAAATTTTTCAAAAATAAGAAAAAAAAAATAAAGTATTTTGTTAGATTGTATATTTAATATAAGCAATTCTATGTTAAATGAGATGGGTAATATATTTACAGTCAAAATATTTAAAAAATATTAAAGAAAAATAAAATAAGATAAAATAAAAAATCAATAACAGTAATAATAATATTTTGAAAGCAAAAAAAATTTAATGTTTTGTAACTCAAATTGTAAAGTAATTTCAATGCTGATTTTTTTGCATCCCACTTGTCTCATGCATGTTTAAGCCCAAGCAAAATAATTTAGGCCTTCTATGTAGGCTTCGCTCGTATTGTACTTGACAATCCAATTAAACCAAAGCAACTGGTCCCTCTTTCCAATTAAAAGGTGTCAAATCATTTTCACAGATCAGGCTCTAGTCTAACTTAAATCCGGCTTGACCGAAAACTGCTTTAACTCGATCCCGACTTGGATATTCAATAGATCAGAAATTTTAGTTAGAACTTGATTATATATTTATTCCTTTGGAATAGTTCTCCTCACTATCATTATGAACACCCTAGCACATTGCTACTCATCTTATGATTGATAAGAGATTTTTTTAGCTAATGTTAAGAAGGAATTTGAATGCTTCTTTTATCTTCCTTGGAAAGAAATGGAGCAAATGAACCAAGAATACAAAAGAAATAAAGAAGAAAAAAAAAGAATAATAATCACAGGAAAGAATATTTAAAAAAATATATTTTTCCATTATCTTAAATGAAATAATAAACATATATATACATTCAAAACCCATGGTGCAGTGTACCTGAAAAATAGCATAACAATAATGTGTATAAAAGCCTAACTATGCTAACATCCCCACTCAAACTTAACGATCTTAGTTGGAGATTCTTGAATCGATTGTTGGAGAGAGGTTTGGTAAACATGTCTGCAATCTGATCTGTGGTGGTATTGTGATGAACAAAGATTTGATTATTATGAATGCATTCTCTGATGTAATAGTATTCAGTTTCAATGTGTTCGATCCAAGCATGAAACACTAGATTGTTCGCAAGCACAACAGTCGAAATACGACCATAAATTTGCAGTTATCCAACTCCAAATAATATCGTGATTATTTTTCCTGATAAAAACTGAAGGAAATGAACGGCCAATCAGCCAATGGGGTGCAGCCAAGTCAACCGAAGGGAATAGCATCAAGTGGTCAAGGCGTGGGCCCGACAGGAGGTCCCACCGGTCCGGTCGAGTGCGGTTTTATTCGCGAGGAAGTAAACGAAGAAATCTGCGGGCTCTTTGGCTTCCGCCAATCCGATCCTTCGGTCGGTGGGCGGTTGGTTGCGGGGCCCGCTCCGCTTTGAAATTTTCCGATTCCCTGCGATAGACGACGAGGATAGAGAATGATGACGTTCTGCCGGGTCGGATTCGGGCCTCCTGACCGGGCTCATTCGACCCGACCCAATAAAATTGTTACCGGTGGCAAAGGTTATTTCAGTTTCGCCCGGGCTAACCCCGCCCGACCCAACAAAAAAGGACAAATTAAGAAAAATTGATAAAGCAATAAAGTCACCGTCCCGCGTCACCGTGCTTCCTCGACAACGACCCGACCCGTCACTTTTTTCATTTCTTTTAAATTAATTATTTTAAATATTAAAATCTTATTTTAAATTGGTAACTTTTTTTTTAATTTTTGTTTTTAGCTCTTTTTTTAACCAATTTTCATAATTACATTATTTTGCTTGTAGAATTAATTCTCTTAATTTTAATATATTTTGTGAATATTATTTATTTTGCTCTACTTATTTTATCAAATTTTTAAATGATAATTATTTTAAATTATATTTTATTTTTTAATAATTTTGCATTTTTTTTGTTTTATCATTTGAAGTTTTCGGACATCTTTCCAATGTGATGAAGTTTGATCAAACCAAAATAGAGCAACCATGACTTACTACTTCTTGATTTTAATATCATTAAATTTAAGTAAAAATGTCTTTAATATTAATATTTTATCTTCAAAATAATAATAAATGGTTTTTTATTTTTAATAAATTTTAAATTAGAGATAAAATTAATTAAATATATTGGTTGAGAAATGTAATACATCACATTTTTTTAAAGTTCATTAATAAAAATGTAATATAATATTCGTTTTTACAAATTTTTTCAATGTCCTTTTCTAATATTAGATTTTTAAAAAATGCTATTTCTTAAATTGGGAAATTTACATAGGCACCACCCAACTCCTATGTATTTACATATCGACCAACTAAATTTTATTTTTTACATTTTTAACACCCAAAGAGTCAAATCTTTCATATCATATCAAAACTATTAAAAAATAAGATATACATATTCATGCATAAATAAGATTATATATATATATATATATATATA